GTTGTGTTCACTTATAGTAGCTATACGGATGTAAGTGTTGCTATGCACATTCATGTATTTTGTTTTGGTTATTAGTTTTGAGACTGGCAAACCAAACAAAAAACCAGGTACTACTGTGCACCCACGCTGGCATGCAGTGTGGCTCAGGATCTCAGCTCATGGCCAAGCTCCGCCTCCCAGTTGTATGCCCCATATCTCCTGCTCAGGTCTCACCGAGGTAAGGCTAGACACCAAGGTGGGCCCAACACCACCAACCGCCCCTGGCCAGTTTCGTATTTTTTTATAAGAACGGGGATTTTCACCATGTTAGCCAGGATGGTCATCGATCCTCGCTGCCCTCTGATTTTTCCAGCCGTCTTGGCCTTCCCCCATGATTTATTTTTGTCCAGGTGCAGTGTGGCTCAATGCCTATAATCCCTAGCCTTTGGTGAGGCCGAGGCGGCAGGATTGCACTTGAGGTCAGGAGTTCAGGACCAGCCTGCAAGATAGGTGAAAACCCATCTCTACTAAAATACAAAATTTCCGAATGGGTGGCGCATGGGCTGTGGGGTCTCCCAGTACTCGGGAGGCTGGAGGCCGGGGGAATTGCTTGAGCCCACCCAGGGCGGAGGCTTGACAGGGCTGCCAATGAGCCAAAGATCACCCGCTAACTGTGCCGAAAAAATTGAATTTTTTTTTTTTTTTTTTGTTGGTAGAGGGACAGACGTCTCAAACTAGTGTTTTCCAGCTGTTGTCCAGGCTGGTCTCAAACTCCTAGCTTTAAGCTATCCTCCTGTCTCGGCCTCCAAAGTGTTGGGGTTAAAGGCATGAGCCATCGTGCCCAGCATCTCTTGTTCTAAGAGTTTTATAGATGTAACTCTTACATTTAGGTGTTTGATCCATTTTGTGTTGTATTTTGTAAATGATGTGAAGTAGGAGTTCAGTCTCTCTTTTTTTTTTTTTTTTTTGAGACAGAGTCTTGCTCTGTTGTTCAGGCTGGAATGCAGTGGTGCAGTCTCGGCTCACTGCAACCTCCGCCTCTTGGGCTCAAGTGATTCTCCTACCTCAGCCTCCTGAGTAGCTGAGATTACAAGCATGTGCCACCATGCCTGGCAAATTATTGCATTTTTAGTAGATGGTTTCACCATGTTGGCTAGGCTGGTCTCGAACTCCTGACTAGTGGTCTACCTGCCTCATCCTCCAAGAGTGCTGGGACTACAGGCATGAGCCACCGCACATGTGGATATCCGGTTGTCCCAGTGCCAGGGATTGAAAAGACTGTCCTTCCCCATTGATTTCTCCGGGCACCCTCTCAGAGGCTTGACATTTTTACTGAGTCACCTTGTTCCAGGTACCATGTTGGATGTGGGACAGGTAAGCCAAACAGACATTGTCCTTGCCTTTGGAGAGCTTCCATTCTGGTACCCTTGAAAAGATAATCTGTGAGTGATGGGGAGGAAGGAGCAGAGTGACAGAGAGAGAGTGGAGGCAGGGAGGCCGCCTTGGAGGCTGTGGAAGCCTTCAGAAAGCATCAATGGTGAGGGGATTGGAGAGGCCCTTACCAGGCAGTCTGGACAGGTGTAGGTGACTGATGGGGCCAAGGGTGGGAGGCTCCCTGTCCAGGGGTGAGAGCTTCCTCAGGACTCTCCGAGGAGCTGGCTGAGGCTCCCCCTTTCTGCCTGGGCTGGTTGATTAACCAGGGAGGGGATTGGAGGCCTGGGAGAGAGCCCTAAGTGATGGAGGGAGGGTGGCTGTGCCCTTGGTCTTCCCTAGGACTCCATCTCTCCTGAGTGGGACAGAATCACTTTGCTGCAATTGATGAAGGCAAGTTGAGTCGTAGCATCTTAGGAGGAGCTTTACTGTAAGGGCCATGGGATAAACCTTGGTTCAGGGCCTTCTCAGTGCTGGGCCTATGCTCGTCACTCCCCCTGTCCTCAGGAAATTTGAGTGAATCTGGGAGGGACGGGGATGTCAAGTGTTACAAAGGAGGAAGGAGAAGATGCCAGTGGAGCTCGTGTCAGGGGAGGCCCAGAGGAGGAACCGACATTTCCTGAGATGGGAAAGGTGACTCCGAGGCCTCTGGGCCTGAGGAGGGGTGGGCGGGACATATGAGACCAGAGCTGGGAGGAAAACAGGCATCCTGGGGCGACGAGCCTGGGGCCTTGCAAGGGCCCCCTCTCAGAATGGGGGTCCTTGTCGAAGAGCACTGGAAGACTCTGACAGTTTTTGGTGACACTGGGATTTTAGTTTTTTTATTTGTTATTAAAGACAATTTTTTTTCTGAGACAAGGTCTCACCTCCAGGCTGAGGTGCAGTGGTGCAGTCCTAGCTCACTGCAGCCTCAACCTCTTGGGCTCAAGTGATCCTCCCACCTCAGCCTCCTGAGTAGCTGGGACCACAGGTCCCCACTCCACACTTGGCTAATTTTTTTTTTTTTTTGGTAGAGGCGGGGTCTTGCTGTGTTGCCCAGGCTGGTCTGGAACTTCTAGGCTCAAGTGATTCTCTTTCCTCAGCCTCCTGAAGTGCTGGGATTACAGGTGTGAGCTACCACGCCCAGCCTCCAAAGTGTTGGGATTATAGGCATGAGCCACTGCTCCTGGCTGAGATGGGGGTTTTAGAAAGATTTCTGAAAGGGAGGATTCATCTGAAAGGAGGGAGGCTTGTTAGGAGGCTGAGGGAGGCGGATGGAAGGACTGGCTGTGGGAAGAACCCAGCCAGTGCCCGTTTCTTAGTTTCTGGCTTGGATCATGGATGGGATGAGCTGTCATTTAGTTAGTTTCTTTGTTTCTTTTTGTTTTCTTTTTTGAGACAGGGTCTTACTGTGTTGCCCAGGCTGAAGGGCAGTAGTGTGATCTCAGCTTACTGCAACCTCCACCTCCTGGGTTCAAGCAATTCTCATCCCTTAGCCTCCTGAATAGCTGGGATTACAGGTGTGCACCACCATGCCTGGCTGATTTTTTTATTTTTGGTAGAGATTCACCAAGTTGGCCGGGCTGGCCTCAAACTTCTGTCCTCAAGTGATTCACCTGCCTTGACCTCCCAAAGTGTTGGGATTGCAGGTGTGAGCCACCATGTCTGGCCACCATTTAGTTTCTTTCTGTCTGTCTATTTTCCTTCATGCATGCAGGTGGTTAAAAAGAAACTGGAACAGTAAATGGCAGTATGTATAATGGTTAAGAGCAAGACCGGAGGCTCAGGTAGGGGTTGAATCCGAGCCGTATGGCACAGCTTCCTCCAGGCCCCGTGAGGAGGTCATCGTGGTAGACTGGACAGCACAGGTGTCTTGAGGACAGAATGAGTCAACACACACACAGAGGGCTCAGAACTGCCCTGGGCCTCAGTGCCACCACCAGCTTTGGCTTCAAACCCGCACCTGACCAGAAGTCCTAAGAGGGTCCCAGCACCGGGGACCTTTGGGAAAACAGCTAGGGGACCAAAAGCCCACCACCTTGATAGTGGAGCCCCAGGCACCTCAGCCCCGCCCTTCTCTGTTGCCCTCTAAAGAGAACCGGGCCGGGGTTCTGCCTGTCTTGGCTGCAGCTGCTCCTGGAGACCCGGCGTGCCCAGGCCTTCGGCCCGTGTGTCCCTTCCCCAGCACCGTTCTTGTTGCCGCGCCCCTCCCTGCATCCATAGGAGAAAGGATCCAGGGTTCTATGCAGCGGTTCTCAGGGCCCAACACAAAACTTCAGGACCCTACATAAGCCCCAGATCCCCACTGGAGACCCCAGGGTGTGGTGGAGGAGAATCTGAGTAAGGCTGGGGCTTTCCCTGGAGAGAGGCATAGCCGTAGAGCCCTCGGCTTAGAAGGGATTCCCCGGGAGACTCCTCCAAAGAGCTGAGAAGGCTCCTGAGGATCCTGCCCGTGGGGAAGGTGGGCCCCCAGGCCAGCTCCTCTCCATTACCGCCTCACTCCCCCGTGGTCATCTCTGGGCGGTGTCCCCTGTAAGGCGGCATTCCCTGTAAGGTGGCCCGAACACGCGTCCCCTCCTCTTCCTCTTCCACAGCCAGTTCATCAAAGCCTACAAGACGGGCAACATGGACCAGGCGCTGTCCCTGTGGTTCCTCCTGGGCTGGATCGGCGGAGACTCCTGCAACCTCATCGGCTCCTTCCTTGCTGACCAGCTGCCCCTGCAGGTGGGCCGGTACCCGGGCAGGGTGGCGCTGACCCTAACCCTGCCTCACCCTGCAGGGTTGCCTGAGGAGATGCCAGGCTCTTTGGCCCGCCTGGTCTCCAGAACCCTGACCCGTCGTTGCATCTTGTGAGGGCCCATCCTTCTGTCTGCCGAACTGCGGCTGTGGACAGGCCACTGCTCTTCTCTGGGCCCCAGTTTTCCCATCTGCAGTGTGAGCGTGTCTGACAGGAAGGTTTCCGCTCTTCCGCCTCCAGGGTGCTGGAATGCTGGCGAAGCTTCCAGGGGGTGGACCCTCGAGGAGGAAAGGCGTTTTTCCGTGGGAGGCCCGGGTGCCATCCCGCTCCTGTGGGCAGGCAGAGCTGGGGCTCCCAATCAGGAAGGCATTGTCTTCCCACGTGGGACCAGAAGGTTCTGACTGCCCCGGCGTCAGGCGAAACCAGAGCCATCTCTTCACCGCGGAGTCCCGCTTTGTCCTGACTGCTGGCACTGACCACCAGCTCATTGGCACTTCCTGGGCTAGATCCTTTCCTGGGTCTTTTGCCCACCTGTTCTGTCATTGCCAGGGGGGAACTGTGAGCTCTTCCTTGCCAGATAAGGAAACAGAAGCTCAGAGAGGCGAAGTGACTCGGTCAGGGTCACCCAGCTGGGATAGGACAGACGGCTGCCGGGGCGCGGTCCCAGATCCTGGCACCGCACCAACCCCCGGGCCCCCTGCGTCTCTTACAGTCCTACACAGCTGTGTATTATGTCATGGCAGACCTGGTGATGCTGACGCTGTACTTTTACTACAAGTTCAGGAAACGCCCCTCTCCGTGTGAGTATGGGGACCACTCTCCGTCAGATGCTCCACCAGCAGCGGGGGGCTGTGGGCGACGGGGGCGCCTGGAGTGTGGGAGGAAGCGGGTTTCCCATGGCTGGGTGATAACCCGAACCTCGGAAAGGCTTCCCCGGCCTTATCTAGGAGCCTGAGCCTTAATCGGCCAAGATAGAGACTTGAGGGCAGTGAGCGTATCCTGGCCCAGACCACAGGCCGGTTCCTCTCGCCCAGGGGCCCGTTCAGCAGGCACAGCTCCAGCTCCTCCTCTGTGTCCAGCCCTGGGCTTGGAGCTGGGGAAACGAGGACAAGTCACACAAGCTGCCTCTGCCCCAGCCTTCAGGAGGAGCAGGAGACAAGGTCAGCTTGAGGCCATACGGACATGGGGAGGGACCTGGGAAAGATTGTTTTTCTTCAGCATTTCTGCTTCGTATAACCCCTCCTGAACTCCCTGCCCTCAGCGTTTCACCTTTATAACTCTAGGAGAACGGTACTGTTGTACCCATTCAACAGATGAAGAATTAAAGCTCAGAGAGGTTAGGTCACTTGCCCAAGGTCACACAGCCCCTGAGGGGCAAGGCCAGGACTCAGCCTCCCCCGACTGCCACTCAGCCATCTAACCTCAGCTTCCCTCCTGCCTCGTGTGCAGTGTCTGCCCCCATCAACTCCATGCTGCTATTCCTCATGGGGACGGCGTGCGCCACACCGCTGCTGAGCGCTGCTGGGCCCGTGGCTGCCCCGCGGGAAGGCTTCCGGGGACGGGCGCTCCTGTCCGTGGAGCCGGGCAGCAAGGTGAGCCGTGGGTGTGGCTGTAGAAGGGACGGAGGCTGGCTTGTCCCCAGGGCTCTCCCCTGCACAGCCTCGTGGGCGCTAAGTGGGGAGGGGGATCACCTCTGGCTCCTACGAGGTACCAAGTGCCCCCTTCTGCCCCACAGCCCTTCACCCGGCAGGAAATCATCGGCTTCGTCATCGGCTCCGTCTCCAGTGTGTTGTACCTGCTCTCCCGGCTGCCTCAGATCCGCACCAACGTGAGCCTCCAGCAGGGGCTGGGTGGGGCCAAGTAGAGGAGAGCCGGCCTGGCCGCCCGGGCCCTCTGGGCTAAGGAGTAGCACGGCATAGGAGCCTTGGTTCAGAAAGTCTGGGCTGCTCCCACTGTTGGCTTGGGCAAGTTAATCCAGTCTCCGAGCTTCCATTTCTGCTTCTGGAAAACAGGCGCGATGTGGCCTGCCAGCCAGGCTGCAAGAGACCCATGTATGTCTTGGAGGAGTAGGAGTTCAGGGGAAGGTGAGGGGCTGAGCTTGGAGGCCTGAGGGGAGAGGAGAAGTTGGGGAGTCGGGGAGGGGAGGCTTGCTGGGCAGCTAGAGCCTGTGTGGGGTGGAATGCAGGGTGGCATGGGGCCAGCAGGCCTGGCACAGCCACGGTCTCCTGTGGACCTGGGCAGGGGCCTGGGAGGGCTTGTCTGTGGGTGAGAGGAGGCTCTTCTGTGTGTCGGGCCCATGTCAGATACTGGGCACCCAGGGAGAGGGGAGCTCAGGGCAGGTGCACTGTGGTGGGGCAGGTGGACATGTGGACAGTTACAATCCAGAGTGACAGGAGGCCTGTTGGAGATCTCTGACCCAAACTCCTGCTGCCTCAGTTCCTCCGGAAGTCCACCCAGGGGATCTCCTACTCGCTGTTCGCGCTGGTGATGCTGGGGAACACGCTGTATGGGCTGAGCGTGCTGCTCAAAAACCCCGAGGAGGGCCAGAGCGAGGGCAGCTACCTGCTGCACCACCTGCCCTGGCTTGTGGGCAGCCTGGGCGTGCTGCTGCTCGACACCATCGTATCCTTCAGGGCGTGTGGGGCTGGTGGTGGGGGTGTGGGCAAGGAAGCCCCTGCCTGCGCACAGCTTCAGCACTCACCCGTCTCTCCCTCCCTCCATCCATCCGTCCCTCCCTCCATCCGTCCGTCCCTCCCTTCATCCGTCTGTCCCTCCCTTCATCCGTCCGTCCCTCCCTCCGTCCGTCCCTCCCTCCATCCGTCCCTCCCTTCGTCCCTCCCTTCATCCGTCCGTCCCTCCCTTCGTCCGTCCGTCCCTGCCTCCGTCCGTCCCTCCCTCCATCCCTCTGTCCCTCCCTCCATCCCTCTGTCCCTCCCTCCATCCGTCCCTCCCTTCATCCATCTCTCCCTCCCTCCATCCATCCGTCCCTCCCTTCATCCATCCGTCCCTCCCTCCATCCATGCGTCCCTCCCTCCATCCGTCCGTCCCTCCCTCCATCCATGCGTCCCTCCCTCCATCCGTCCGTCCCTCCCTCCATCCGTCAGTCCCTCCCTCCATCCGTCCATCCGTCCCTCCATCCCTCCGTCCCTCCCTCCCTCCATCCGTCCGTCCCTCCCTCCATCCGTCCGTCCCTCCCCCGTCCGTCCCTCCCTCCCTCTGTCCGTCCCTCCCTCCATCCGTCCGTCCCTCCCTCCATCTGTCCGTCCCTCCCTTCATCCGTCTTCCCCTCCCTCCCTTCATCCGTCCATCCCTCCCTTCGTCCGTCCCTCCCTTCATCCGTCCGTCCCTCCCTTCATCCGTCCTTCCCTCCCTTCATCCGTCCATCCCTCCCTTCATCCATCCAGCCATCCCTCTCTCCCTCCCTCCCTCCCTCCATCCGTTCACCCAGTTGTGCACATCTGCGTGCTGGGCACCCAGCCGGACCCTGGAGCCATGAGTGAGCAAGAACAGCCATGAGTGCCTTAGAAGCTTACAGTTGGGAGGGGGGAGGACACAACGTTATCATCAAAGAATTAAGTGGCACCAGGTACTGCAGAGAAAAACAAAAGCGTCTAGCCAGGGGCTGTCCAGGGGCTGTCCAGGGGCTGTCCTGGTTAAAGTGGCAGCAAAGGCCCCTGTAAGTCTCATTGAAGCTGTGACCTGACAGAGAAGGAGAAGTTAGTCAGGCGAAGGCGGGAGAGGAATGTTCCAGGCTGTGCGAATGACAGCTGGAGTGTGGAGACACACATGAGTTGGTCGGACAAACCTGGGTTCAAATCCTGGCTCCTCCCCTGCTTCCTAGCTGTGTGATGCAGGGCACAGGGTCAACCTCTCTGTGCTGCTGTCTTCACCTCAGTTAACAGCTGCTGTCTCGTCCGGATATTGTGTAAGACGAGGTAGCTGGAAACAGAACCTCGTGATCAGTGAGGGCTCAGAACGTGTTCGCTGAATGGCTGGACAGAGCGTTATCTGGGTCTCATTTGGGAGAAAGTAAACATGGCCTTGGTTTTAATATTTGCTAAGTCCCTGCTGGGTGCGGGGAGAAGTGAAAGTGTAGGCTCTTGTGCCCCCAAAATGGCCCAGCCACCTGGCAAGCTCCAGGATGCCACAGGGTGAGAGGAAGAGAAGATCCTGGGCCAGAGTCAAGGGAGGGAGAAGTCAGTGCTGGGCTTGGAGGCAAATGGAGCTTGGCTAGGGCTTGAGCAGCCGGACTGGCGTTCCGAATGGAGGGCACAGCTAAGGTAGAGGCCAGGAGGGTATGGCTGGCCCTTCCCAGCTGCAGCGTGGGGGCGGGAGGGAGGGGAGGGGGAGGCAGCTTCCGGGAGTGGAAGGCCCCCAGGGGCGGGTCCAACCCAGTCTGCTCAGCTTGGCCTTAACCGCGGCACCCCCAGATCTCCATCCAGTTCCTGGTGTACAGGCGCAGCGCCGCCGCCTCGGAGCTTGAGCCCCTCCTCCTCCCCAGCTGACCGAGGCCGGCTGAGCGCAGGAGGACGGGGACCACCGGAAGCCACACCAGGCAGGGGGAGGTGTGGGCAGTGATGGTGCTGCAGCTCTGCATCAGTGTGTGGGCGGCCTCTGGATCCCCCATGGACCGAACCATCCCCTCTGGGAACACACCTTCAGGTAGACCCTGAAGCCTCGAGGCCGGGGCTGGAGCGGAGACCCCAGGGCCTCTCAGGAGACAGGCTGCCCCTCCTACCACCTACCTCATTCTGCCTACTCACCCCAGGGGCCACAGCTGCAGCCTGCGGGACTCAGGACTGTCCTGTCAACTCCAGACAACCGAGTAAACAGGCCGGGTGTGGTGGCTCACACCTGTCATCCCAGAACTTTGGGAGGCGGAAGTGGGTGGATCACTTGACGTCCGGAGTTCAAGACCAGCCTGGCCAACATGGTGAAACCCCGTCTCTACCAAAAATACCAAAATTAGCCGGGTGTGGTGGCACACACCTGTAGTCCCAGCTACTTGGGAGGCTGAGGCAGGAGAATTGTTTGAACCCAGGAGACAGAGGTTGCAGTGAGCTGAGATCGTGCTACTGCACTCCAGCCTGGGTGACAGAGTGAGACACCATCTCAAAAAAATAAAAAAGACAACCGAGGAAACGGTACCTCCCCGCGAGACCTGCTTCTGTTGCTCCTTCCCCAAGGTGCTGAGGGATCGGGGCTGCTTTGGGGACCAGTGGTGGATGTGGATGGGGATCCAGGATGAGCCAAGCGGAGGGGAGCACATCTGTCTGTAGCCCTGGCCCAGCCTCCTGGGGCCTCTGGTTTCTTTAGCCTGCTTGTCTGTGCCCTCTTCTGACAGGCTCCACACCTCACTGTGGGGACGCAGCAGGGAGAGAGACTCCCCACGGGGAGCCTGCCCCTCGGTGCGCAGGAAGCAGCAGAGTGGTGAAGGTTCTGTCGGATCTGGGTTGTGCGTTGCAGCTCCTCGGTGCCTAGCTTATCTCATCTGTGAAATGGACAGTACTACCACTTCCTATGTCCCTTCAAGGATTACATAAGATGCTGACATTATGCAATTTAGCCCCAAACGTGGCGCATAGTAAGGGCTCAATAAAGGTTAGTTTTGAGGACTTTTAGTTGGAGAAGAGGAGCAACCAGATCTCCTTGGAGATCAGGGAGAGCCTCCTGGAGAAGGTGACAGGTCAGAAGGATGAGCGGGAGATATCAAAGGGAGAGATAGGATTGAAGGCAGGAGGAAGAAGTGGCGGGTACAGAAGCAAGGTGGGAGGGTGGAGAGGAAGGCAGGGCTGAGCCCTGACAGCTTCCTGGACCCCCAAACTCAGTGTTTTCCAGACCCTGTTTTTTTATTTTTAAATTTTTTTTAGCCCAGGCTGGAGTGCAGTGGTACGATCATAGCTCACTGCAGCCTTGAACTCCTGGGTTCCAGGAATCCTCCTGCTCAGCCTCCCGAGGAGCTGGGACTACAGATGCTCACCACCACGCCTGGCTCCAGACCCTGTCTGATTCCACTTTGCTGGGGGTCATGACCCTCAGGTACTTGGAGCACAGAGGCGCCAGCTACCCACCTTGCCGGCCTGATCTCACCCCACACACCCAACCCTAGCTCTCGAAAACCAGAACTAGGGACTTGGGGCATCCGGTGGGGTAGTCCTGGGGAGAGAAGCTGTGTCTCCAGAGTGAGCCTTGCCTTTAGAATCTTGCTTCCCAGCCCCGGAGAAGGGAGATAGCGCCGCGCCATTCTGGCGCTGCAGATGCTTGGTGAGTGCAGCCCTCCGCTCGGCCTTTGCCATGTCAGACACCCGGGCTGTGGTGAACCAGCTCCAAGACCCTGCCTTCCAGGAGAAGAGACGGTTACCATGACCAGAGGGCAGAAAGGCCAGGAAATGAGCAGATGAGACCAGCCCCAGGAGGGTCAATCAGGGAAGGCTTCTCAGAGGAGTGGCCTTTGAGCTGGATCTTGAAGGCAGAGGGGAGGACAACTCAGGAAAAGGGAGGGGCAGGTACAGAGGCCTGGAGTTGGGTGTCTGGGCTGCTTCCAAGGAGCCTGAAAAGCCACACCAATGCCAAGGACAAGGTCCTGGAGCACACCCAGCAGCAGCCCAGCAGCAGGGGATGGGGTTTGGTCGGGGGAAGAGCCTTTTGCTGGAGAGAGAAGGCAAGGCTCACCTCTGAGACCCAGGTGAGCAGAGAGGGCCAGTCTCCCCTGCCCCGTCCTCCTAGGGTCACCCACGGAGCCCGGGATGCCATCTGGCCTGCAGCTGTTAGTTGCACACTTGCTATATGCGGGCTGCGTCGCCTGCCATCAGTGCGCGAGATCTCCCGTCTTCACAGCCAGCTCTGAGATGGGGGAGTTTTTATTTTTATTATTTTTTTGTTGTTGTTTTATTTTTTTTGACACAGAGCCTTGCTCTGTTGCCCAGGCTGGAGTGCAATGGTGCGATCTCAGCTCACTGCAACCTCCACCTCCTGGGTCCAAGCGATTCTCCTGCCTCAGCCTCCTGAGTAGCTGGGATTACAGGCGCCCGCCACCACACCCAGCTAATTTTTGTATTTTTAGTAGAGACATGGTTTCACCATGTTGGCCAGGCTGGTCTCGAACTCCTGACCTCAGGTGATCTGCCCGCCTCAGCCTCCCAAAGTGCTGGGATTACAGGTGTGCCACCACGCCCAGCCAAGATGGGAGTATTCTTATGGCCATTTTACAAATGGGAAAACAGGCTCAGCGCAATTGAGCAACTTGCCCAGTTAGGAGCAGCAGCAACACGAGGCCCTCCAGCTGCGGGGGCCACCCCATGCCTGGCCAGCTTTGGCGACCCGTGTCCCCTTCCTCCGTGCTGGGGGCCCAGGGCTTGTGGCAGTCCAGCGTCACCCTCAGGAGTGGCCCGAACCCTGCTGGGCCCAGGCTCCCTTCTCACCATCCTGAATAGTGACTTTCCTGAGCCTCCGGCCCTGCTGAGCTTTCAGGATAAGTTACCCCCAGGTCCCCAGCCCCCGCTTGCCCTGGCCTGTGCCTGCCTCAGGTGCCAGCCAGATGTCTTGCTCCACCTGGGTCTGGGACCTGGCTCCACACCAGTTACCTGGGACCAGTAGGTGCCCCTTCAGCCTGAAGATCTGGGGGCACCATACCACATGAGTGCCATGTGTGGGCCTGAACTGGTGCTGGGTGGGGAAGAGTGAGACCGGATAACACAGCCCCTGCGTGGAGGCCCTTGTCTGATGGGCTGATGTAATCCCTTCCTCCTGGGAAACACCAGCTTTTGGGGTGATAGCACTTTCAGGCAGGAGCTATGGTTCCTTCCTCCCCCTTGGGAGTGCCCTGTGTGATGGAGGCAATACAGCCCCTACCCTCAGAGAGCAGCCGGCCTGCAGCTCGTCCAAACCTGAGTCTCCTCTCCCTTGGAGGCCTCATTCCAGTGCCCCAAGTAGGATTCAAACGGCTGGGGCTGGAAGAACTTGGTGGCCTGGGTGCCTGGAGCCCTGTTGAAGGAGCTGGTGACATCCAGATGCTGGAGGCAGGTGGCAGGGAGCACAGACTTTGTGTCCTGCATACTGAGCTCCAAGTGTGCCCTAGCCACTGTGAGCCTTGTGACTTGAGCAGACATCTGAAGCCGTTTCTTCATCCCATGAGACCAATAACACCGCCTGCCTCAGAACAGAGCCGTGATCAAGATGAGCACGGAGGCGCGTGTCCCGGCACCTGGCACACAGTAAGTGCCTGGTAAATAAACAGTGGCTCTATTTGCTTGTCCCCAGGGGGCTTACCAATGCCTGGAACCTCCCCCAGGTTCCTCCCAAAGAGAAGGGCCAAGGCCCGGCATGGTGGTTCACGCCTGTAATCCCAGCACTTTGGGAGGCTGAGGCGGGAGGATCACTTGAGCCGAGGACTTCAAGACCAGCTTGGGTAACATAGCAAGACCCCATCTCTACAAAAATTTAAAAAATTACAATAAAGGTGAATCTCATCAATGGGATTCTGCCATACTGATGGGGCCATGGTTGCTGATGGCAAACGTGTTACCAAGTTAAACGCCTCCGCAGGTGGCGTTTCTTTCTCCCTGGCTCACACCTCCTGCTCCTTCCTGCAGGTCACGGGATGGTGGGATGCTCATCTCCAGGTGTGGCCTGAAGGGAAAAGTGTGGATGTTTTGGTGTGGTCAAGGAAATGGAACTATGCTAACCAGTTGCCTTTGTCCAGGAAGGGCTGGCTCCCTTAGGACGCCCACACGGAGCATGAGGCTGGGCCAGGCACCCCCAGAGGTCCCCGCCTTGGCAGGTTCTGTTTTACCTGTTGAACGAGACACTGTGTGGGGAAGTGACATGCGCAGCGCCTGGCCCAGCGGCTTCGCTTCCTCAGGTTCCGGGGATGGGATGGGACAGAAAAGCTGGTTTCTCAGTTGGTGGCATTCTCCAGCAAAGCAGAAGGGATGGTCCTGTCAGCCCCGTGCCCAGCACTGGACCCCATGCCCTCCCTGGCTCTCCCAGCCCCGAGGTCCCATTGGTTATCAAACCTGTTTTTTTTGTTTTTGTTTTGAGACAGAGTCACTCCGTCGCCCAGGCTGGAGTGCAGTGGTACGATCTTGACTTACTGCAGCCTCCACCTCCTGGGCTCAAGTGATCCTCCCAATTTAGCCTCCCAAGTAGCTGGGACCACAGGCATGCACCACCACGCCCAGCTAATTTTTGTATTTTTGGTAGAGATGTGTTTTCGCCATGTTGCCCAGCAGGCTGTTCTTAAACTCCTAAGGTCAAGCAATCCTCCCACCTCGGCCTCCCAAATTTGCTGGGATTCCAGGTTTTTGAAGCCACAGCCAGGACAACATGGCCTTCCATTCCTGAAGCTGAGGTAGGGAAGAAAGCCTCAGCCTCCACCGCTCTCCACCCTTTCTGTCTGACTTGGCTTTCACTGGAGCTGAATGGCTCCGATGGGGACCCCAGAGGTGCTGGGTGACAGCCAGGTGCAGAGCCTCAACTACCGCAGATGGTAGAGCTTTAAACGGATCCACTGGCCAGGCGAGGTGACTCACGCTTGGAATCCCAGCACTCTGGGAGGCTGCGGCAGGTGGATTGCGTGAGCCGAGTTCGAGACCAGCCTGGGCAATGTGGTGAAGCCCTGTCTCTACAAAAAATACAAAAGCTTTAGCTGAGCCTGGTGGTGTGCACCTGTAGACCCAGCTACCTGGGAGGCTGAGGTGGGAAGGTGGGAGGATTGCTTGGACCCCGGAGGTCAAGGCTGCAGTGAGTTGAGATAGCACCACTGCTCTCCCGCCCGGGTGACAGAGACCGTGTCTCAAAAACAAACGAACGAACAAAAAAACCCAACAACAACACAGGAAAACCTGGATCTGCTCAGCATTTGCCCTAGGGCAGGGACTGGGTTACCTTCCACTGTGGATTAACTCAGTTCAGCTGATAACTACTGCTTCAGGCCCCCAGCCTGGGACAGCCCTGGGGACACAGTCACCCAGTAGCAGCACTGTGCCCAGCATAGGTAACCACTCAATAATGACGACGGTTACTAAGTACTCCGCCCCCACCAAACAGTAGGCAGAGACTGTCCCCTGTTTGCCATCATAACCCCAGTCCTCAGTAGGTGCTCAATGTTCAGTGAATGAGTAAGTGAAGGGAAAGCTGAGGCACCGACCCTTGGG